ATGTTTCTATCTATTTATTTATTTATTTTAAAATATATTTTTATTGATTTCAGAGAGGATGGGATAGGGAGGAAGAGATAGAAACATCAATGGTGAGAAAAATGTCTCCCACTGGGGATTGAGCCCGCAACCAGGAATCAAACCAGGAGCATGTGCCCTGACCAGGAATCAAACCGTGACCTCCTGGTTCATAGGTCGATGCTCAACCTCTGAGCCATACCAGCCAGGCTATAATTTTTTTCTTTTAATTTGTGTTTTTACATACTTTGTTTTTTAACTTACTGAGTTGAACAGTCTATCATTTTAGTTTTTCTTATTTCTCAAGGTGAGCATTTAGACCTTTTAGGTGTTGATATAGGTACCTCCCACAAACTTGCTGTTGTACTTGCATTCAGTTACAAGTATTTTTATTTTTATTTTTAAAATATATTTTATTGATTTTTTACAGAGAGGAGGGGAGAGGGATAGAGCAGGGGTGGGCAAACTTTTTGACTCGAGGGCCACAATGGGTTCTTTAATTAAGTTTATTAATTGGGTCAAATCTTCTCTCTACTTACTAATTTTTTATCTGTCAGATTTATTGATTATTGGCAAAGGGCATTTATTTACATTTTCATATCATGCTGTGGACTTGTCTAGTTTTCTTTATGATTCTGTCAACTATTCCTTTTACATTAAATGTATATAATTTAGATTGGTTATATATTCTTGGTAAACCGTTCCTTTATCACTTTATAGTGACCTTGTATGCCCTTGTATGATGGTTTAGATGAGTATAAAATTCTAAAGCAAATCACAAGCCCAACCCTAGGCAACTGAGTCCTCAGCTCCGGATCACACTGGTTTCCAGTTTCCTTTCTACTTTTGGACTCCGGGTTATTTCCTTTAATTAGCTGCCAAAGCAGCTTCACTTTGGGTTATTTTTCCGGCATTTCTGTGTTCTAGGAGGGTTTTTCGTTTACCCTGTCATATCTTCGGGAAGGGAAGCTTTTTTCCAGGGCTATTCATTTCTGGGGATGACTCAAGAAGGGTGTTGAAATTGATTGCCACCTTCTACTCAGGGAGTATCTGATGTCTCTTGGGTCAGGGTCTGTTCTTGATCCTGATCACACAGTATAAACACAGCTGCAGAGACTCAGGGCACTGTGGGCATCAGAGTGGGACAAAGAGAAGAGCAATAGCTGATGTTACTGAGCACTCACGTGCCAGCTTTGTTCTATCTGTTTTACATGTATTAACTCATTTAATCCTCACAATAGCCTTATGAGGTATCATCCTCACTTGACAGGTTAGAAAACAGGCATAGGGATGATAAGTAACGTGATTAAAGTTCCACATATAATAAGTGCAACAGCTAAGATTTAAACTTCGGAACTGCCTCCAAACCCTAATTTCCCAGCCCCTATGTCGCGTTGCCTTATGAGAACACTGAAGTGGAATCTGAACTCACAGATTCACTGGATTGTACACTGAGCCACTCCCTTTTCCCCACTGGGCAAATGATGGGCCTCAGTTTCTTCTGTTCAACAGGGATAATTGTCGTCTGCACTGTACAAAGCAGGTCTTCAGGGGCAGGACACAGGAAGCTGTTGGCTATCTCTGACCTTGGCATGAAGGAGACTGTTCTCCTCTCACTTCATGCAACAGGTACCTTTGGGTAGGACTGATTCCCAGATGGCACTGGTGTAGGGGGATAGTGTTGGACTGAAAGTCAAGAGAACTGGGTTCTAGTCCCAGCTCTGTCACTGACTCAGCATGTGAGTGCTATCAAGAGAT